AAACTGTGTCACATTACACTATGACCTCTCACTGGCTGACTGGTGAATCACCAATTAATTTATATAAAAATTTCAAAATATATATAATTTATTATTTCAAACAGCTTTACTTAAGGCATAAATATTAATTAGCTTAATAAAATTTTAATTTTAATATGTAACTATAATTATCGATTAGAAAAGTAATGAAGTTCAATAATTTTTTTATGAGTCATTTAACTAATAAAATTATTTTATATATAAATAATCCAAATAACCTAATGTTTCAAATAATCTGGGCATTATTTGATAACTTGAGGTTATTTGAATTTTGATCAAATAACCAGATCATTTACTATTCCTGTTCAATAGTATAAAGTTGGTCAGAGGTTTTAAATAGAAGATCTATAGACAGATCTTAGATATGGCAATTGATAGATAACTATAGATAAAAATAAATATAGCAGAGCTCTTAAATAGACAATGACTAAAATTATATGTGTAACCAATTATACTCTTATTAATATAACAATATCAGGTATAGTATTTGTAACTGTATTGGTATCAATCCAAAGTTTAATAAAACATGCTAGACCTTTAAATAGTTATTTTAACATTAAAAAAACAATCTATATGACACTTTTTATATTAATAAAAGAACAATTTTAATATAATAAAAATCTTTCAATAATTTTTAAAAAATAAAAATTAAATCTAATCAAGTAAAACCCAATTACTTATGATTTTATTCAGAAGTTTTAAAACCAAATAATAATATCAAAACTTTATTAATAAGTAAAAAAAAAAATGATTTTATTTAGTAGGAATATAGAGAAGTAAAGATTTAATAATATATAGCCTGCCTAATGATAACCTTAAAAAACAAAGGTCTAATAATATATAATTTTGTATATTAAGATTTATAAAAAAAAAGATTTAAAATAATAGGATTTCAAAATTAACAAATAAGTGATACATTTCAAAAATAAGTAGAATTTTTTAATAGCATTTTTACTTGTTAAATTATAAATCGGAAAAATAAAATAAGATTCTCTGAGTTTAATTTTGAAACCCTCTAATATATGACTCAATCTAACAAGAATTAAAGAAAGCAAAAATTTAAACCGTGCAACTTTGTTCAACAAGAATTTTAAAATAAATCTAAAAACATTTGATTCTGCCTAGTAAGAATTTCAAAGAAAATGATATGAATTTAAAAAAAGATCTTAAAATATGCGATAATGTTTAATAAGAATTTAGAAACAAAGATCTAATAACACCTGACTTCACTCAATGATTTTAAAGAGAGACTAATTATGTATGATCAGCCTAAGAAAATTTCAAAGAAACCAAAAACAAACCAGTGCTGACATCCAATGACAATTAAAAAGTAAAGACCTGATGCTATAATGACAATTTTAAAAATATAAAGACAAATCAATTTAATATAACTAAATCGGAACACTTTCATATTTTATCAAATATGCAAGTGTTCCAATTTAGTCATTTGTTTAAACACGTGCTGTAAATGAGTGAAAAAGCACGGGTTGTTGCATAAGACCTGTGCAATAACATGTCATTATTACCCATCACAAACAGGACGCTCCCTAAATGTACAAAAAAATATTAGTAAAATTGATTTGTTAATAATATAATATTATAAAATAAGAGCAAAATATATTACTTGAGGTATACAGATAAAGCCACAACAAACAGGCAAATCCTAAATATAATAATACACCAACAGGACTAAATAATATTGATTATATGAGTTAATAATATAATGTCATAGTTACCTCTTTACAATAGTGAGCATTGTCACCACAACAGGTTGCTCCCTAAATACGCAAAAAAAATGGTATTAAAGTTGATATTATTAATAATATCATATTCTAAAATAAGAGTGAAATATATTACTTGAGGCATACATCCATCATCACAACAAGCAGGATTATCCTAAAGATAATATTTTAATAATAATATTGATTATATTGAGTTAATAATATAATGTTATAGTTACCCCATCACAATAGCCATTGCCACAACAGGTTGCTCCCTAAATTTACAAAGAAGTATTAGTAAAATTAATTTCATTAATA